GATTTTGTTGGAATTTTGGAATTTTGGAACATTGCAAGGTTGGTCCTAGGGGGAGGGGTTAGCATATATATATATATACATATATATACATATATAGGGTTCATGGCTTGGGGTAGGAAATAAGGGAGTATGCTACGAACCAGTAAGTTTTCAACAATTCAGGAATCCCTTTGGACGTCCGACTGCAGTATTTAGGGGTAATTCTATTGGGGGACCCAGTCTTGTACAGGGTACTGTCTCAACATAGGCGAACCCCCCCATAGACCCCAATATATGATAATCCTTATTATGGGAACCCCCCAAAATGGTACCCCTAATTTTGGGAAGCCCTCAACCCTAATCGTTGAACCCTATATATATGTATATCCTCATACACCCCTATCTATCCCTATAACCCCTTCAAAAGGTACCCCTAATTTTGGGAAACCCCCACATAGTTTTCTAGGTGCTAACAAGAGCCCGCAGCAGTGAATGACGGAGTCAGGTTGCTAGCTCACCATGGCCATTGGGGGTTATGTATGGGGTTTATAAGGGGGGTTAATATAGGGGTATAGGGGGTCATCTAGGGTTTTATAGGGGCTGTATGGCGTTATATCATTCCGTCTGCTTAAGACTCCTGCGTGCGTGAATTTGGGTGTGCATTCGAACTGAACGATCCTTGTGTAAATTGTTGAGAAGCGTGTCCTGCAGCTCCTGATGCCTTTCAGGCAACATGGGTAACGCCACCTGCTGCTCCAAGGCTCGGCATTTGAAGAGCTTTGTGCCCATGCTTGCACCAGAATGCCAAGTAGCTGTGTAACTTTTTGCAGGGCCAAAATCACAGGTTTCTCTTGGTAAGGAGCCCAGACTGTTGGGCGTTAAAAGGCTGTTCAACTTTTGTTGGTGAAAAGGTGTTCGAGTCATGCAAGTAGTTGGGATGGCAAGCTCGGTATGTCCGTCATCAGGATCTATGAAAAGCTATAGACCCCTTAAGTAGATAGAATATAGCTTTGGGTATATTATAGCAAGATCCCCTATACATCCCATATTCTATCTACTTAAGGGGGACTCTAGATTAGGAGTCATGGCCAGGATGAGACCAGCAACAACGACATTACCGAGACGAAGGCATGTTGCTGGTGGCTCCACTACTCTCCAGTGAAGGGCATGGGGATGGGGATAGGGGCAAAGTGGCTGTAGTGTGGAGAAGTTGGCCCCGCAAGGCGGTCAGTAAGCCTGCCGGCATCAGCAACCCCTATGTACTTTGGCCTTAGCTCTTTTGCCCGCCGCGCATTTTAAACCGCAGTGTTCGAGCAAGAGAAATTGAGGCGACAATCGTTCTCACGTCCATGTCCTACTTGGCCCCTACACCCTGAATCCTAAATCCTAGACCCTAAACCCTAAATCCTACCCTAAATCCTAAACCCTAAACTGTAAGCCCTACACCCTAAAAACAGCGCACTCTCTTGACTCATGCCCCTGAAGGATGGGCAGCCCACCACTGCCCCGGAGACCCCTGTTGTGGAGGCTGGGCTAGGATCCGAAAGGTGCTGGGCCACCATTCCTGAGTTTATGAATTGGGGTTTAAGGTTTAGGGTTTTAGGGTTTAAGGTTTTCGGTTTCGGGATATTATCCCGCAATACTGGAGAATCAAATGGAAAAGAACATGGAAAATGAAATGGAAGCTAGGATTATATAGGGCTTATCGGGCTTTGGTAGTTTCCCAAAATAGGGGAACCCCCAAGATAGACTGCAATATACCATAATCCTCATAATGGGACTCCCAAAATGGTACCCCTAATTTCAAACTCAGTAGGTTCAGCAAATTGGACAGGAAGCAGTTGCCCCTCAACCTCGTGCCGGGCTCCCATCTGATAGCTTTGCATAGCTTTGTGTCTCCGGTCGTATTTGCCTCGAATTTTTCGCACACGCTGAGGACGGAGAGTTCATCATTGTCTTGGTGAGGGCCTTGGAGAATGATCGCAATTGACTTGCAAGTGTTGCTTCTTTGGGAGCTCCTGGCTTTTTTGCTCTAACGCACAGGACAAAAGCAATGGTGAGCGTTTGGGCATGGACGTGGATCATGAGGAGCGGGCGGTTGTGGAGGGAAATTCTCGTAGGCCCCCTAAACCCTAAGCCCTTTCCCTCCTTGGCTGAATCAAGACTGGCATGCGTCTTGCAAAATGCAGATCTTGGAGGGCTCCCGCCGTAGACGTATAGTCCCCCTTAAGTAGATATAGGGTTTATAGGGGTTATATTGGGATAATGGAAAAGAAAATGGAAACTACTGTTTAGGGTGTAGGGTTCTGGGTCTATAGTCCCCCATAAGTAGATAGAATATGGCTTTGGGTATATTATAGTAAGATCCCCATAAAACCCGTATTCTATCCACTTACGGGGGACTTTACATTTGCAGTTCTAGCATTGCTCTGCAGTGTAGAACTTGAGCTTTCCTACCCCAAGCTCTGAAATCCGAACTCCAATATACTATGGTAGCTTCCGTTTTCTTTTCCATTATCCCTATATAACCACCATACTATAGTAGTTTCCATTTTCTTCTTATTATTCCCCATATGAACCCATATAATCCTAAACCCTAAGCCCTAAACCTTAAAGTCCTTGTCCAGGATGGTCGCACCCTGGCCGTCGATGCTATTACCGGAGGCCTGATCGAGACGTGGAACAGGGAGAACCCCGAGAAGGCGGGGTTTACGCTTTAGGCTTTAGGCTTTAGAATTTAGGGTTGAGGGTTGAGGGTTTCAGGGTTAAGGGTTCAGGGTTTAGGGTTTAGGGTGTTAGGGTTTAGGCTTAATGTTCCTTGAGGCTTCAGAATTTTGGGTTGAGGGTTCGCCCAACTCGCAGGGTTCTCCCACAGCCTAGGTCTCATCCAACGCGTCAAGTTTGGCTCAGCTTGGAAATTTGGGGGGGCAGGGTGGGGGGGGGTGTAATTACGTTCGCTTCAGCGACAGCCATCCTAACTTGTAAAACGCAGTATTTCGGGAACCCTCATGCAATAATGTCCCATTCATGTTCGACAGCATCCAATTACCAAGTCATCCCTGCCCAAACCATAATTAATGCCGTTCATGTTCCAGAGTATCCCATTACCAGAACAACCATGCCCAACCTGAAACAAAGTTCATGTTCGAGAGTACCCCATTACTAGACCATCCAAGCCCAAGCCATAGAAACGTTTGTGTCACCCGTGCATCGAAGTATCAGAAACATTGCGCCCAGTGGGACGAAGTCTATGTCCTTCTCAGGAACTCTGATGCAAAAACGCGGCGCGTAATGGGACAAAATGCATGTCATATATCTGATCGCGCGAACACAGAAAAAAGCCTGACTATCAGCGCTGTGCTTTGTTTGCTGCAAGCTTTTTGACCTGTAAAAAGCAGTACTTCTGGACAGGGCCTAAATCTGGCCACACACCTTCGCACTTTCTGAGGGTACGACGTAACACTTCTCATTGGCATTGTGCCAAGACGATTGTTTTTTGCATTTTTTCATTTCTAAAACGTGCAAAAAATCTCATCCCCAATCAAGCTTGCGCGCGGAATTTTACAAGAAACTTCCGCAGAGTCATGACCTTC